CACATGCACTATAGGTGAACTGAATAAACTAAATTGGCTGTAGTGTAGAAATGTGAATATGGAAGTGTGTATGGGTGTTTCCCAGTACTGGGTTGCAGCTGGAAGGGCATCCGCTATGTAAAACATATGCTGGATAAATTGGAGGTTCATTCTGCTGTGGAATCAATGAAGGATTAAAGACATGCAGACTCATTTGAATTAATCTCCAAAACAAATCTCTTCCATGCTTTTAGAGTTCTGAATGAAAATGTTTATGCGAGGGATGTTTGGTTTTAGCATGTTTCACGAGAGGAGTCTGAGTTGTGATTGACACCTAAATGAACTCGGTAATAAACAATATTAAGACAATAAGACGCATGTGTGTAATGCACAGATTTCTAGTGTCTTCAAAATGACTGTAGTGACTGTTGCAGGATGGTAATTGCTTACAGATATGTTTGACGTCGAATGAGACCAAAGACAATCACACAAACTCTCACTTCAAATTCACTAAATCTGTGCACCAGATTCTGTCATTTTCACTGCCAAGAGCCACTAATACAATAAAGCTGAATCACAAATATATATACAGAAACACTGAGCTCCAAAACCCCACAGATCAATCATAATAATGTTAACATTCTCTCATCATTTACTCACCATCATGTCCGTCCAATCTAACACTACATTTAAATGTATTCGGTTCATTATATTCTGAAAATATATATCACCATTTACTTTAGCTCTCCTTCATATTTCTGCATAATCAAACTTGCATAACCAAAATCCTTATTTATTTCACTCTTTTATAAGGGCTTAAAATGATATGGTAAAACTGACTAAATTTTTACTGTTACAAATGCCAATTTAGTTTGGACCAATCAAAACCAACTAATTTGGTTATATTTTTGGACACTGCTACTGAACGTTTTTAAAAATTACATACATACAAAAAAATACAAAAAATACAAAATACAAAATACATACACACACACATACATACACATACACACACACATATATATATATATATATATATATATATATATATATATATATATATATATATATATATATATATATATATATATATATATATATATATATATATATATATATGTATGTGTGTGTGTGTGTGTGTATGTGTATATATATATATATATATATATATATATATATATATGTGTGTGTGTGTGTATATATATATATATATGTGTGTGTGTATATATAGATAGATAGATAGATAGATAGATAGATAGATAGATAGATAGATAGATAGATAGATAGATAGATAGATAGATAGATAGATATTCAATCTGTTACTCTGACTGACATCCTTGCTAGTGCAAGTATTAGATACTAAGCTATAGTTGACAGGCACCTGTAGATTTTGTTTTTACTAATTGTCTCATATTAAACTCGACAGTGTCAAGACCAAGAAAGAGCTTCTGGAGATTCGACGTGAGATACTGTAATCATAGAGATGGCGTTTATCAAAGAAGAAAGTGAAGACATGAAGATTATAGCAGTCACAGTCAAAGATGAAGATGCAGAGGAAGAAACAGGTTGGTCCTCATCCTCAAAACTGAACTTCTCTTTTGTTTTTTATTAAAATGTCGTCCTCTACAACAGAAATGAATGAGTTTGATGAAGTGGGTTTAAGTTCAAGACCTTTGTTCAACACCAGGAACAAAAATGAAGATACTTTAGGTGAAATCTAAAGACCAAGCATGATGACTGTAATATATTTCTACAAACATGTTTGCGTCCACACTGACGAATGGAAAAGAAACAATAGTTTCTGCTTCTCATTTGACAGTAATCCCTCGTAATCAGTTGTTTTAGTATGTCAAATGTTTCAGCATGCCAAAAAGGTTTTAGTATGGTTTGTGTTTATGCAGGTGAGACAAGTGTGGTGCTAATCGACAAGAGGAGGCACCATTAACGGTCCACACACCATACTAATCAAGCAGTACACCTGTTTATGGCTGGTACACACAGCTGATATCAATTATCACAATAATATTCAATAATCATCAATCATACTCATGAACATCATTAATCGAAATACAACAAAATTGCATAAAAGGCGTAAAATGCGAAATAAAGATGAGTAATAAGGATTACACGAATAAAAGACAGATAATGAAACCCCAAGCAGGTTGATGTTAGTATATACAACCTCAGAGATGTGCCATCATTTTCCTCTTCAAAGACTGGGGAGCCCTTTGCAGTCACATTGGAAAACCAACACGTGTGTCCGAGAATGCCAGGCGATGTGCACTTATCCCTCGGCTCAGCAAGAAACCCTCACCTTTGTAGTCAAAAGAGTGAGTTGATCAGGCCGACCTTCTCTCTCCGCTAGGTGCACATTATTTCTGATTGCAAAGCACAGATTTGAGGTTTGTAGAGTCAGCATGAGTATCAGACAGTCAATATTCTACCTCCTGTAATTTGGAGAAAGATAACCGGAAGGTCCCTTCTCTGGTCATGCTTTAGGGTCAATATTTTACCTCCTGAAATTTGGAGAAAGGTGTGAAGTTTAAGGTCGTGAGACCCTTTTCTGTTGGTTTGGTCGTTCGTTGAGTGCAACAGGAGAAAAAAAAAAAAAAAAACCCATTTCTTACACCAGGGGATGTCCTCAGTTTGCTACTAGCACATCTGAGCAGTGAATAATTATTTTAACATGTCCTAATCTAATCATGGGAATGCTAGTTGGTGTAGTGGAATTAAAAACAGCAAACAATTTCCCCCTGCATTTTCAAAGGAGGAATCACAGACTCTGAAACTATGCTGGAATCTTGAGGTACTTTTATATAGGGATGCACCGATATAGATTTTTTGGCCGATACCGATAGCCGTTATGTATAGGCCGATATTTATAAATATTTCAAAATGATATATTTTTATACAGCAAACTTAAAAATAAAAGATTGGACTGCTCTTATGAACTAAATAGTCTGTACTCAAAGCAACAAAGCTATAACTTCAAAATTGCAAGGTGATTATAGACCTATATTCACCATTTCACATAAATCAGCATGCAAAAAATACATTACTTCCTTTTCTTCATAGCAAATTAACATGCAACTTGACTGTTGCATAAAATTAATAAGGTTAAATAACAAAATAGGATTTAATCAACAAGCAAGTTAAATATATTTAAATAAGATGAAAATGAAAGCACTAAGGACTGAAACCAGCTCAAATGTTCTTGAATAAAACGTGTTACAGTGATGTACACATGTACAAATATGTCATGTTCGAAAAAGCCTTTTTTAGAGGTGTTTTGACAGTTCAGAGCCACCGTACAAGCCAACAGCTAAATATATAAAGTACGTTTAGAAAATGTGGCACAGATTCATCCTATTTGGCGTTTTGGATTCTTTTGAACATGAAGCTGCTGCTTGTCAATCAGACAACACTTCTGCGCTCGTTCTTGCTGTCAATTACGGTAAAAATGATCGATGAAAAGTTTATGATAAACCGCTGAGTTTTACTCAACTGTAGAGGCAGAGTTGCCATCAGAGTCAGATTTTCATACAAACCTGCATTGAGCTGACTTTATGGCAAACACAGAGCTGAATAGAAAGACAGAATGAGCCGCTGGTCGAGAGCCTCTATGACTGGATTCACCTCTCTCACCTCTCCCCCGTGCTACAGTGTGTGTGTGCGCGCGGTGACAGCTCGCGCGCTCGTCATAATCAATGTGAATATTCCGATCAAACTGAATACATCTTACATCAACAACACATGACAAGCAACGCGTTAATAATAACAAATAATCAGATTACAAACAACCGTTTTGTTTACACGTGTTGTAAAATGTGCGGGTCCAGCTGCAGTTTGGGTGTGTGTGTGAAGCGAAGAGGGAGAGGAGCGGTTTTTGGGCAATGATTTTAGGTGACTGATTTGTTGTACTACACGGAAAGTAATAAATATTTTGGACCAAGTTACATGTATCCTCGTTCATTCACCAGCGCAGCACGCAGGTCTGTACATTACGTAATTTATCGGCTTAAAGATATCGGCCTAATTTAGACATCGGATCGATAACGATAATCTTAAAAATAGCATTTATCGGCCGATAACGATATGGCCGCCGATATATCGTGCATCCCTACTTTTATATTTATATTATAGTTTGTTAGCCCGGGCTGAATAGCTTTCAGTGAATTTTCATCATTTGCCATGGATTAACACTTGTTTTCTAGATAGTCTTGGATTAATCTTTGTGAAAAGGGCTTAACATCAAGCAGAGCTTCTCCACAATGTCGTCTGTAGCGTTACATTGAAATTTATATTTCAAAACACTCACTCACTGACTGCCGTTGTCTTTCATTTTCACTTGCTGTGACAACTGAACTGAAGCAGTTTTAGTTCACCAGAACGGCATCGATGTTAAGCTGCTTCGACACTATATAAACTCTTTTCACACTTCTAGGTTTCTTTGTAGAGGAAGTCGTCATAGTTGGGAAAACTCAGGCCCCGTTTACACTAGTGCGTTTTAGTTTTAAAACGGCGTTTAGGTCAAAAAGATCTGCGTCCACTCTAGCGTTTCTGAACATATCTCCGTCCACACTACGCCACCAAAAACGTATATCACGTGACCATTCGCGCACTCTTGGCGTGCGCGTTCTAGTATAAACAGGAAGCATGTGTCTCGCTCGGCATTTGGTTATTGTTAGTCAACAAACGCCGGTTGAACAATGAACGCGATGGCAAAGAAAGCAAGAGAGGTATTTTTGTGGACAAACGATGAGGTTGAGTTGTTACTAAACGTAACAAATGAATACCTGCACAATGGCGCCTAAAACAGACAATAGTGCAAACAACGCTCCCATTTCTGTGTCCATGTTGTTGTTTACAGTGAAGGCTGGTCTGCTGTCTTCCGGTAGCGTTAAAGCCATGTGTTATAGTCATGTGATAGGGGCTTGACGAATAAGGGAAGGATACGCAATGACACAAAAGCCCCAATCAGCTAGCGAATCTCAGCAGCCCCGCCTCCGTTTTCAGATGTCTCCGTTTTCCCCATCCACACTGAGACGGAGGAGCAGCTTTTCAGAATGAAAACAGCCTCTCCAGCGTTTTCAAAACACTCCATTTTCGGCGCTCGAAAACTCTGGTGTAGTGTGGACGGATGGCGTAACCGTAGCATAACTTATACGTTTACAAACTAAAACGCATTAGTGTAAATGGGGCCTTAGAGAGCAATGAATGGCAGAGTACAAAAAATATATTTTTTACAATCTTATTTGCACAAATAATAAAAGAAAAACTCCACAATGGTGTTATCAAGACTTTAAGAAAAAGGAAAAAAAATCGTGAGACCGATAACGACAACCAGTGACGAGAATAACGTCAAATTTACTGTCCTGTCCTCGCACAAGCAGTAATTAGTTTTTTGTAATTTGAAGAAAAGATGATACAATACACACATAAACACATATAAATGTTTCAAAAGACATATTAAAAACTTTTAAAGGATTTAAGATGCTGATAACCTTTAAACCGTTTCATAACAGCCTTGCGAAAAGGGTCAATTGTTTATATAACACTATCCACTTTAGGTCGTGACCTTTGGATTAGAGATCTGCGCAGGACTAAATTTTGAATCCCGCTCCCACCAGGTTTTAGCCCGAACCCGAACGCTCCCGCTTATATTCAGCATTTGTTGTCCCGCTGCTCGACCCGCCCCGTTTCCTACCCACCACGCCCGATCCCGCTAAAGAGCAGGGGGGAGAACAAAATCTAAATCCACCCAGCTATACAGAGTCCAGACTATAACAAGCTGTCTGTATAAACACACACAGACAAAGCTCTCTCTCTCATTCGCGCACACAAACACACACACACACACGTTTGTTTAAGTGTAAAGTGGGGACATTACATAGGTTTCCATTCATTTTATACTGTCCAAACCGTATATTATATTGCCCCCACCCCACCATTAAACCCAACCATCACAAGAGACTGTGTGCAGCTTTACTCTCAGATTAAACTCATTCTGTTGGATTTGTAAGCTTTTTGAGAAACAAGGACGTCTCATATTTCACCTCCTTTTTGTAATACCTGTGTCATACCCATGTCATTATACAGATTTGTGTCCTGTTATGTCACAAAAACACGTACACTCACACACACACACACACACACACACACTCATACACCACACCTCTCATTCGCGCGTGCGCACACACACAGCAACGAACAAACAAGCTAAACACAGCATCGTGCTGTTTCAGTCACACACATAATGTTACATAAGCGTGCTCGGGAGTCGGGAGCGATATTGCGAGACGGCAATAGCACATGAAACTAAAATTATGACTTTTTGAATAGTGTAGAGTATAAATGAGTGCATGGAGCCACCGTTCGTCTGCTTTCATTTGAGGAGGCACGCGTTCTGTTGTCGGCTGCCAGAAGGCATATGTTTTTGCATATGACAAATGTTCTGTTTATTTTCCTCAGACTGGAATGATGCACGCTAGATGTGTGATTTATAGTCAAGGCTATGTTTACATATTCACTTGTACTTTTACATGAGATACGAATATAGCTTTAGGGGAAGACCAGGCCAAAAAATAATAAACAAAAATATCTTTGTTTACTACCTCATCTAAATCAAAGAAAAAGAAAATACAGCAATTACTTACCTAACTCCCTTTTCCCAAAACAACCACAAATGTATAAAAAAAAAACCAAAGGTGGTGATGTCAATCTCCCTACTTCTCACAGTTATTTAAAAGTGTTTTATACTATGTTAGCGCAATTCTTAACACCATTCTTAGAAACGAATAAGCAAGAGTAAACTTTTTTTGTTGTTGTTCAAATCTTTTTATTAACATTTTGGTCAATAAAACATCAATTTCAAAAGTATTTGAAAAACAGAGACAAATGATCTTTGCTCCAACAGAGCCCCCCCACCCCACAGCACCATTTATAAACAATATGTTATGCCTATTTTTAATCTGTTTTACATTCTGTCGCAATATATACATACATACAATAATTCAATTCAATTCAATTCAGCTTTATTTGTATAGCGCTTTTACAATGTAGATTGTGTCAAAGCAGCTTCACATAAATGGTCATAGTAACTGGAACAGTGTGGTTCAGTAACTGGAACAGTGTGGTTCAGGTTTTAGTGTTTAAGTTCAGTTCAGTTCAGTTTAGCTCAGTTCAGTGTGATTTAATCATTACTGAGAGTTCAAACACTGAAGAGCCAATTCATCGATGCGTAGCTCTACCAATCCTGAACCATGCGAGGCAGTGGCGACAGCGGAGAGGGAAAAAAAACTTCACCTGATGGGAGTGAAGAAAAAAAAACAATACAAATAGACAAAAGTTCCATTATATGTTCACTCATCTATTGTACATATATACGCACACAACGAGTTACAATAGGCTTAGCAAATGTAAAATAAAGAAATAAAATAATTTAGATATAAATTAAAATGGAGGGGAAAAAATGTGAGAAACACATAAACAATGGTCAAACTGAAAAAATTAAGTTTGGATCCATTTGTTTTATATATGTCAACACTGGCTGCCAAATAAGATGAAATTTTTGACTGCAACCTTTGGTGGAGTACCGAATCTTCTCCATTGTAAGATGGTACATAAGGTCCCTAATATAATGATTAAAAGTTGGAGGAAATTTGTCCTTCCATTTGAGCAGTATAAGACGTCTTGCAATTAATGTTGAAAAAGAAATCATGCTTTTGGTATTATTGTCTAAACCGGGATCTGTTATTAAACCAAATATTCCTGTAACAGGGCAAGGGTCACTTGTTACATGTAAAACATTTGAAAAAAAAATTAAATATTAATTGCCCGAACTTGGTAATTTTAGATCATGACCAAAACATGTGTGTGTGATTAGCTATTTCTACGTCACATATATTACATAGGGGATTTATAGTTGGTGAAAATTTTGCTAATTTTGCTTTTGTCCAATGAAGGCGATGGACCACTTTAAACGGAATAATTGTATGTCGCAAACAAATTGAAGTTGAATAAATCTTATTTATAATGTCTTGCCAAATTTCCTCAGAGAGGGTCAACTCAAGTTCATTTTCCCGTTGTTGTTTCGACTTTGTTACTGAAGTTAGATTTTGTGAGGAGATAAAAGAGTAAATCACACCTATATTACCTTTGAGAACTGGATTGGTTTTTAAAATGGTGTCAAGTAGTGTTTCTGTAGGTAAAGTTGTAAAGTCTACTGTATTAGAAATCATAAAACTGCGGATCTGTAAATATCTAAAGAAATGTGTTTTAGGGATATTGTATTTTGTTCTTATTTGGTCGAAGGACATGAAATTGGAATCGCTATATAAATCGTTCAGTGTGGTCAGCAAGAGTAAACTTACGAATTAAAATCGAAAATTAAATGAAAACAATCACAAAAGTAATCACACTCTTAACATTTCTATACATATTTGAATCTCTCTGGCGTAGTGCTCAAAGTGCCTCATGAGGGCGCACAAAACTAAAGTGCGAAGGGTAACAAACAGGTCATTAGCCACATTTCCACTATCGCGCATTAAGCGAGCATGCCTGGGCCACTTGCGTTTTCGCTGTCACTTCCGGGGCCTGATCGGGCCAAAGCAGGGCTTTATTTATTCTCTTAAATAAAGTGTCATATAGCCTAGGGAAAATGATATGTTTTAGGTCTGTCCGGAGCATTTGGGCCTACGGCATTTGTCAAAGCAAGGATGTTGTAAGTTATAAAATACATCTTATTCCGAGTTATTACCGGACAATTTCTGTGGTTTTATATTATGGATGGTGCGCTGGGTCATCACTCCGTTAGTGGCGAGACTACTTGATGCCAACAGTCGCTCGGCAAGTAAACAAATATAATGAATGAAAACACATAGGCCTGTGCGTATAGACATATCATGTAATGCTGTACAGGAACATTTCGGTTGTTTTCATTTTAGTTGTGATGGTGTGCCTTATCTGCCTGACTGATTCCTAGCCCGACAGTGGAAACTCAACATGATTTCAGCCTCACTGCTCATGCTCCTGGGCTATTGGCACGGCCCAGCCCGATAAAACTTGTCCGACAGAGGAAATGCGGCTATTGTGGGACAAAAGGCCTGGTTCAGTGCTCCACGCGTCCTTAAATTTAGGGTAGATAGAAATGAGAACCGATCAAATCCATCATCAAATTTTCTCCAGGAATCGCCTTCCTTTAAACAAAAACATAAACGCACAGAGAGAACAGCATAGATTCAAACACATTAACCAAAGGTCGTAACAGTAGACATCATGTAATGATTGATTGCAAAGCTACGTGTACTCTGCCATATTTGTTACCCACGACACATCAATCTGACACGGACTGTCGTAACTGACAATGCAAAATGTGTAATCTAAACTGGGCTTTAATGCAGGTTTGTTCTGAAGTGATTCATCTGGGGTTAACTTGTGTTTCTCTTCATGGCCTAGACGCAATGGAGATGAAAGAGGAAAATGAAGCACTAAATCAAGCGGAAGAGAAATACGAATATGGGAAACGCAGGGGTTTTGTAACTGGAGAAAACTCTTTTAGCTGCCCGCAACTGACTGACAGCGCAAACCGAGAACCAACGACGACAAGAGTCGAGAAGCCTTTCACCTGCGAACAGTGTGGAAGAGGTTTCCTGAAGAACGCCACCCTTAAAGGACACATGCGAACTCATACCGGAGAGAAGCCGTTTTCCTGCCAACAGTGCGGAAGCAGTTTCTCTCAGAAAGGGACGCTAACCAGACACCAGAGAGTTCACACCGGAGAGAAGCCTTACACGTGCACACTGTGCGGAAAGGGCTTCACAGCCGTAGCAAACCTTACCTACCACATGAACATTCACGCCGGACTGAAACCCTTCACGTGCGAACAATGTGGAAAGAGCTTCAGGCGCAAGAAAACCCTTAGCTGCCACATGAAGGTCCACTCAAGAGAGGATTGTTTCATATGTCATCAGTGCGGCAGGAGTTTCCCAAACATAAAATGCCTCGACACCCATGTGAAAATCCACTCCGGAGAGAAGCTCTTCGACTGCCAGCTGTGCGAGAAGAGTTTCCGATTCAAAGTAGGTCTGAAGTCCCACATGAGAATCCACACCGGAGAGAAACCTTACACCTGCTGTCACTGCGGGAAGGACTTCAGATTCAGTGTGAGCCTTAAAACCCACATGAGACTTCACTCCGGAGAGAAGCCCTACGCGTGCAGCCAGTGCGGAAAGAGCTTCAAATATAAAGCAACGTTGAACGCACATATGAGAGGTCACACCGGGGAAGAAAGCCCCCACGTCTGCAAACTGTGCGGGAATAGCTTCTCGCAAAAGGGAAATCTTAAGATTCACATGAGAGTTCACACTGGAGAGAAACCCTTCACCTGTGATCAGTGTGGGAAATCTTTCACGCGGAAAGAGTCTCTTAACTACCACACACGGACTCACTCGAGAGAGCGCGGTTTCAAGTGTCGTCAGTGTGGAAAGTGTTTCCTGTACAGGAAGAATCTCGCCAGGCACTCAATCACCCACTCCAGAGAGAAGCCGTTCATCTGCCCTCAGTGCGGCAAAGGTTTCAGGTTTAAAGGAAACCTCGAGGTTCACATGAGCGTTCACGCTGGTAAAAAAACATTTCAGTGTCGTAAGTGCAAGAAGAGGTTCACACATCGGAAAGATCTGAAGTGTCATCTGAAAAGGCATTCTGCAAAGAAACTGCAGTCTTCTGAGTCTGGGAAGAGGCTCGGAAAACAGCGCGGGTTCAACAATAACCTGCTCGATCACTCGGAGGGAAGCTCGTTTGATTGTGGCAAGTGTAATGAAACGTTTAGTTTGGCTTCACACTTACAGACGCACATGAAAAGTCACGCAGGTGTCCGACCTCATTTGTGCTCCTTATGTGGGAAGAGATTTCAATGGCTTAGACATTTCAAATGTCACCAGATAATGCGCGTTTGTCGGAAATCAAGGCTACGTTCTCGCTGTAGATGAATGGAACCAATAGGATTTTCTATTTAAAAACTGCGTGTGTTTTTTTTTTGGTTAAGTTTACATGACTATAAATGTGGGAACTGTTAGATGCTCATCCCTTAAAGGTCTCGAACTCAGTTCCTGGAGGGCCGCAGCTCTGCAGTTTTTCTCCAACCCTAATCCAACTAATCATGGTGTTCAAGACTACTAGACACTGCTAGATCAGCTGTGCTTGATTAAGGTTGGAGCTGTGCAAAGCTGCGGTCCTCCAGGAGTTGAGTTTGAGATCTATACCTTAAAGGAATAGCTCCCTCATCCTCCACATACAGCAGCGGTCCGAAGTCATTCAGATTTCAGAAAAGGAACCAAAAACATTGCCAAAACAGTCCATGTGGCTTCAGTGGTTCAACTGTCCTCACACAAAGCTCCAAGAACACATTTACCAAACGACTTTGTTTGCCTATATCGTCTCTTCCACATCTTCTCGTACAGATGATATAAATGAGCAAAGTTGCATTGACAGTTTTTATGTGTTTAATGTTGAATCTCTGAAGCCACATGGATTGTTTTGGCAATGTTTGTGGTTCCTTTTCTGTATGTCAAACCTCTCAGGGCCAGTGGAGGATGAGGGAGCTCTCGGAGTTCATCGGAAATATCTTTATTTGTGTTCAGAAGATGTACGAAGATCTCATTGAGGGCAAGTAATAAACAAGACTTTTCGATTTTTGGGTGAACTAACCCTTTAATGCAAACATATCAATACTATGTTGATGTACAATTTCTAAGTGTAAATAAGCATAATCGGAGAGTGTAAAACGTTTGTGCTCTGAATTTCTGTTCTTTAATGTGAAATAGCCAATAAAACACGCTTACTGAGAACTGTGCTGAATCCCGGATAATCAAATATAAAAAAACATGAAACATTAACAAAAGGCTCTCTCTAAAGTCATCGTGTATACTTGGATAGCTGTGAGCTTTTATGTATTAAGGCTCACTCTCACAAGTCTTATCAATTAAATATCTTAGCCAAATGTTGTCACTTTCATATATCTCATATTCTCATGATTTAATTCAACTTGTAGGCTTATTAAAAGCCATTACTGTACAGCAGGGGTGTCCAAACTCGGTCCTGCAGGGCCAGTGTCCTGGAGAGTTTAGCTCCAACCCTAATCAAACACACCTGAATCCGCTAATCAAGCTCTTCCTAGACATACTAGAAACTTCCTGGCAGGCCCTCTAGGACTGAGTTTTTTCGAACTTTTTTCACCAAGTACCACCTCGGAAAAAATGGTCTCTCCAAGTACCACCATAATGACCAGTATTGAAATAACGTAGCGTAGATGGTCAAATTAAGCAGCTACAGCACTGCACAGTTCAAAAACGAAGCAGAGTCCTATTCATTCAACAAAATGATATTCCATACAAAATGTGAAGCTGATCGTTCGGTTTTTATCACATGACTTGTGTGGCGTTCTGAAAAGTTAAGATGTTTTCAACTGAGGATGCCTTGAATACGCAAGCGCTTCGTGCTGCAGTTCTTACTAATTTTGCTAGCCTGCGGGTAAAATTTTGGCCCTCAAGTGACCGAGATGTAACAAGAGAACATGGTCATTTTTCAAAATAAATGACTGTTTAGACTCAGATTATTAATAAAACTGAAATAATTAATGATTTTTTGTGCGGTCCGGTACCAGTTGATCTTCAGATCGATGCCGGTCTGTGGCCCAAGGGTTGGGGACCACTGCTCTAGCACGTACAGTATCTGCTCTGCAAGCACCACGCACCTCTTTTTCTAGTTCTGTGCCAATTAAATTCATTTTTAGCAGCTGATGACGCCATGCACTATTGTAAACATTCTAAGCGCAATGCTTTGATCGTAGGCTTTAGAGAACAACCAATGCTGATCACATTGGGGTTATTGTACGCATCAAATGAATAAAATTGTATTCATTTTTTCTTTTGTCACTCAGTGATTCCTCCGTGTACCACTTGCAGTAAGCCTGCGTACCACAGTTTGAGAATCACTGATGTAGAGTGTGGAGTGAAAAGTGACGTCCCATGACATCCTGTAGGCCTCGGTAACATTAAAAAAGAAGCATGCTGTCTTTAATGTCATCATCTTGAACTTCTGGAATGCATCACAAAAATAGTGTGTATTTTCATTAAGTGAACATGTTTGCGTTTGTTGATTTTATTGAAATGTATTGTTCCTCTCACAGAAGCACTGCAGGTACAATAGGCAACAGTGTTCTGCTGTTTGGGCTGCTGTTGCTTGTGCTTGTAAAAACGAACCCCCAGAATGTATTTTCAAGGGTCAAAGAGAGTTAATTGTGGGGAAACAATCGCTTTTTAGCGAGAAAGTGAATTGAAACCATCTATGCATATTGGTTTTATATTTATATTGTTTGTTATTTTGAGCTATATAAGTCATTATTGCAAGGCACGCTCAAGACCCTTACTCCCAAATAAAAAATCTCCCCGTTATAAAAAAGTAGGCTCCCCCAAAGTCCACTGTATAGTTCGGACACTGTACAAATGTGTACCTGAAGGTAACACTCCAGTGATTACTCTAGTAACTTCATTTCTGAGATTGCAGAGTGAGCCATCAGGCCAAACTGACTAACTAGAGATGAAGGGCCTTAGTCAGGGGATTGACCAAGAACCTATTGGTTAAGCTGCGGTCACACTGCACTTTTCTCCTCATAGACTTCCATTCATACGCCCGCGAGTGCGTCACACCAGAAACACAAGCTTGTGCGTTGGAAAGTTCAAGCTTGGTGAACTCTGACCTGCGAAATCACATCATTGCGTGAGTTCAATCCAAGATCAAAACATGACCTCTCTGGACAGAAATTTAAAGTGTGGACCAATTGCTCGCTTTTTTAAATGTCAATCTTGTTTAATCCCGCCCCTTTTCGCAGCGCCGTACTACAGCGCAAGCTCAAACTCTAGATGACCGCAGCATAACTCAAAGAACGATGCAGCTTTTGTACAAGGTGGAACAGTAGTTATTTGACAATTTTGAGGAACAAACCACTCTTGTGTTGGATGACCGAGCGATACATATACGGATAGCATTTGAGTCGATCATAACATCTGTTGCTGGCACAAAGGTTAACTTTAGTAGTGTACATGATATTATATCTAGAGTTGACTCCGCTTGCTTGAAAAAGGGACGTAGAGGATTGAAATGCAAACAACACTAATTACATGAATTACATTCAGAAACACTAGACTAGGGCTGGTCAACCTTGGTCCTGGGCCCGGTTTTTCAAAAGTAATCCACTAGGATTTTGGATAAGGGATTGGATCAAATCTTGAAAATGGGTTTTTTAAAAGAAAAAACGGATTACCTAATCGGATTAGATCACGTAATCCAATCTTGGTTTTGATCCGGATCAAACCTTTAGTTTGGGTTTTTCAGACCTTTTTTTAGGATTTTGATCACTTTGATCCAAAAAACCTGGATTAAACTGATCCCATCAGAAGGGTGAATTTAGCGTGGATTTCATGCCCAAAATGTAATGAAAACTTAAAAAAGTTATTAAATAATACTATATTTGGATCATGCAGTATCTTATGAGATATACTATTTATTCATAAGGTTTTAATTTTATTTGTTCATCTGTCAGGCTACAGTGATTATAGGCTTTAACGTATTCAGCCTTTCAGTATAGGCCAACAGCAAAATAGAAAGAGTTTGGCCTCATAAAATAATCCCCCAAACAGCTGTCAAAACTGACCAAAAACAATACATTTTATTCTGTCACTAATTGTTATATACATATATATATAAAACTTTTTGTACATTCCTATACATTTGCAAATGGTGTTTTGCATTTGTGAAACGTATTTTATGAAAATGTATTTTTATTTTGTGCATGTGAAATTTTTTTGTGAATATAAATAAGTATTTTACGCACGTGAATTTGGTTTTATGCACGTGAATTTGGCTACGCATGTGTACATCGTGTCTTTTGCGTGAATTACTTATGAGTCTTATCTGTCTCCATAGTCCCGGAATAAAAACATTTGGGAATCCCTGGTGTAAACAATAGACAACTATTTTGGTTAAACTGTGCATGAACTAAACCACATAGAAATCACATTAAAATGCTTAGCCTACTGTAAAAAAAAAAAATGTAAATTGAACTTTTCTGTCATAAACTGTAACAAATCAAATCAAAATGAGAGTGAGAGATCACACAGTGCTTAAGAATGCTACTGTACGCATGAAAAAAATTAAACCCTGCAAAAACTTTAATTTAGTAATGGAGAAAAGCTGTTATTATCAAAGCTATCAGTCAGCACCCGCTTTTTTTCTGGGTCTTTGCATGTGCAGTGTAAAAGCAGACATCGGATACAAGTCACTATTAAAAGATGCAAGTTAAATAAAATAAAAAAAATCGGATAGTCACAAAATTGGAATTGACCGTCAAGATCTGCAGTGCAAATGCTGCCTCACACTGTCCTAACAACATGTGACGCACAATAAAAGCTATCTTTTCCATGTTAAAAGATCTGCGACGACGATGCACGAAATTTCTATTTTAGAAATGTGCTCTATTCGGGACTGAACAACGTCATAAACTACTATGACATCGTCCTCCTCAGGTACTGATTATGGGCTTTATTCAGTGTTAAATGCTCCCGATGTGAGTTTGAAGGACACTTAATTTACATTTATTGCCATACTACTGAAAGCGGCAGCAGATAGTTCACCTCAGATCTTGTAAATGAAAGTCTGAACTGTGTTTCAGTGCAGACCAACATCAGTCACTCAGTAGCATACTAATAATATTAAAGAGGTTTAACTCGTATTCATTAGATGTAAAGTCTTTACCATTCCATTGAATCAGGATATCTTCCATCCAATCCATATCCGTTTACGAACAAAAAACGGAAAATGAAGAAAGCGGACATTTTTCGATTTTTATTTTGCTCACAAAAGCAAACAAACAAACAAACAAACAAAAAAATAAATAAATAAAAGATTTTGGCTCGATTTTTGTTTTTTTTTATTTAAGGTAGGAAAACGGATAAACGACTTTAAAATTGATTATACACATGTAGGCGGTGCTAAAACACCCACTTTCCTCTGATTGGTCAACCAAATCTAAATTCTAAACAAAGCCCTGAAAATGAGAGCCCTCTGCGGACCAGCATTCAGGCGTTTAATCATTATTATTTATTATAAAAACTCAAATTACATATTCTGTCATTCGATCAGTTAGCAGGCTTACATTCATTGGCTGCGTCCGAAACCGCCTACTACTCAGTAGGTACTACATTTGAATGTAAACGTACTACTCGGCTGTTAGAAAAGTACGTTTTATACAGTATGAATGTGAAAAGTATGAATGGAATTCGGATGTACTACATCCGCCATTTTGTCATGGTCACGTGACCTACCTGCGTCAGTTGCGTCGCTTTACTCCCATTCATGAATTCTCTCAGGGGGCATCATGGGATAGCGCAGCATGCATGCGATGCGCACTCCAGAATCTCGCCGGAAGTAGTAAGTCATCCGGGTACTTCTCGCATACTGATTTTCGAATTCTATGAATTCGGACATACTACTCGGCTCGCATACTGATTTTAGCGTACTGTATAGTATGGAAGTATGCGGTTTCGGACACAGCGTTCGTGTCTTTGATGCACTTTAAAGCCTGTAGCCTATGTAATAGTTAAGACTTGTTTGACATGTTCCATCATTTCAAATGTGTTTATTTTTTTATATATTGTAGTTTATATAAAGTATAAAAATATTATAGTTATTGCACATGCGTCTTATTCTTCAGTAGATCTGTAAATGAGGTATTTTATAAACTGATCATTGAAAGGACTAAGCTAACAATCACTGTAATTCTTCAATTGGAAAAGGCTTGATTAAAGTCCTGTCATTTTAAAGATTTTCTACAATTTAAGCAAAATTAGGTTAATAATTCAGAATAGTGCGCTGATTTCTGTGTGCCATCTGCCTAGTTAACCTAGTTAACCCTTTAAATGTCACTTTAAGCTGTATAGAAGTGTCTTGAAGAATATCTAGTCTAATATTATTTACTGTCATCATGACAGATAAAATAAATCAAATATTAAAACTATTATGATTAGAAATGTGTTGAAGAAATCTGCTCTCCGATAAAAAGAAATCTATAATTATAATATAATTATAAAAAGAATTATAATATTATATTTTATAATATATGTATAAAATAGAAAATGAAAAAATATATAATGTAGCCTATACAATAATAATAACAGCAACAACAGCTAAATGAAATTAGAAGGAAATAAAATAAAAACAAATGGTACCCTTTGTTATAGCGACTGGGCCCAATGTGTTCTTATTCTGGTCCTGCTAACAACTAATAAAATAACAAAACAATAAAAAAAACTGTATTTTTGTGAACATTATAAATTATTATTATCATCATTATTATATAGGCCTTGCTTAAAAACAAATCATGCAAACCAGGTGCAGCTCTGCAATCTTTGCACAGCAGCGAGACATTTGGCAGTGAACTATGACCTTATTTTAATGACTAATGTCTAATAATACTGCTAATTTATGCTAACTGATCAATTGACAGAATATATAAACTCAGTTTATATATATAGTTAAATAATTATTAATTAAAAGCCTGTGTGCTTATTTTGTCTCTTTTTGACTCTTAGGCTGCGCTCACACTAGAGTTTAATAATGCGAAATTCTGTCATGCAGCGTTGCGAAAAGGGGCGGGATTAAACAAGATTGTTAGACATTAAAAAGCGAGCGATTGCTCCATGTTTTAAATTCCTGTCCAGAGAGGTCATGTTTTGACCCTCGGTTGGTCTCACGCAGTCAAGTGATGCGATTTCGTAGGTCAGAGTTCACCAAGCTTGAACTTTGCATCGATGTGAAACTTGACGCGTGACCTTTATGGTCTGACACATTCACGTGCGTATGGATAGAAGTCTAAGGGGAGAAAAGTCCAGTGTGACCGCAGCTTTATTCTGTCACATGCGAAGATTTAGTTAACCAGTCAGAGGAAAGTGGGTGTTTCAGCACTGCCTACATGTGTATAAGGAATTTTATACCTATTCCTACCTTGGAATTAAAAAAAAAAAAACGAAAAGAGCCAACTTCTCGTTTTTGTTGTTGTTTGTGAGTAAAAGAAAAAACAGTTTTTTTTATGTTTAATAAATGTATATGGAATGGACGGAAGATTCATTGGGAGTGCAGTGGCTGGTGTTTAAGTGTTTCTGTCCTGTCACATCACGTTTGGTGGAGACAAATTGCATGTCGAAGGAATCTAGTCGCATCGTAAATTGTTAGGACACTGCGTAATGCCGAGTTTAGACTGCAAGATTTTCAAAGTAGTCGTGTCACAGATGTTTTCACACTGCATGACTATCTGGGCTAGCGTTTCGTCGCTGCTTTGTTTACACTGCAAGATGGATCGGCGACAGGGACTTTCACATTGCATGACTTTACTATAGGAAGAATCGCCGACAACTTCGTCCAAACTACGTCTCACAGCCTAAAAACACGTCGTATATCTTTTGTTATTAACAACATAATGAGAAAGAAGCCTTTAATGGGGTAGAACATGTACATATTTGCTCACCGGAGTTTAAAGGGAATTAGCCATTTCTACTCAACGTTGATAATAAACTAATTTCTTTCTGTATGAAACGTCAAACAGACACGGGTGCTCCTGAGTCCTGTCAAACCTCCACTAGTTTTTCCTCCATTTCGTGGGTCCAAATAAACCGAAAATGAACGCTTTTAACTTCTCCCCCAGCCTCCCGCTGGCCTGCAGCTGGTATACACACACACACACACACACACACAAGTGAATGCCGCTCTCTCATCGGCAGTCTGAACTAGGAATTAGTTAACTTGTGCTGTGCTCTGTATATTGAAATGTTGATTATAGAAATGTGTTGTTCTTTCATTCATCAGTAGATCAACATCTGACTTTATCACTCCTGTTGGTGCTTGTATGAGGTCACAATCTTCCACTGATTTGCCCTGTTGAGTAAATCTCCACCCCAAGTCTTTGGCTGTATGGATGTATAATCCGGGGTTGACTTTCTTTACAAACAAATAGCCTCATGTAACCCCACCGGTTCTACGCCACCCAACCCTCTCCAAGCTAGTATCGAACCGGCGACCTTCCGCATGGGAGTCGGTTGCTCTAACAAGGAGGCTAAAGACCATGGACTCTAGCATCTGTCACTAGAGCACCTTTAGAGGTCAGAGGAGTGAGGTTTACCTGCACAGCACTTACTAGCTGGCCTCCGTTACACTCAGCCCCCTAAACCTCACTCCCATCCGGGTCACAGCACCAATGTGACCCCTCCGGTTCTACGCCACCCAACCCGCTCAGAGCTGGTATCGAACTGGCGACCTTCCGCATGGGAGTCGGTTGCTCTAACAAGGAGGCTAAAGACCATGGCCTCTAGCATCTTAGTGGTCAGAGGAGTGAGGTTTACCTGCACAGCACTCACTAGCTGGCCTCCGTTACACTCGACTAACTAACAAGTCAGTAAACAATCAAATCATAGACAAGGACTGTGTAAAACTCGCAACCCTGCAGAGTTTAGTCCCAGCCCTGCTTCAACACATCCATCTGTAGGTATCAAACAAGAATGAAGAACTCAATTAGTTTGATTAGCTGTGTTTAATCAGGGTTGGAACTGAGTTTGACACTTGTGTCACAGACTGATATCCTGCATCTAGAAGTGGATTGAAGCGGTCACCAGATGAGCTTCCTTGTACAGAATGATGGCACACGCTGTGGGCACACGGCAGCTGAAAAATATGTTGAAACTGTAGGATATTCGATGCTATCCATAGTATCCATAGCCATAGATTTACTGCTGAGCCATCTCCTAGCACACAAGGTGTATCTTTTGAGTGTGGCATCGAAATACATTCATTCACACTGACCACAGTTGATTAGCTTTCATCGTGAGCGGCAATGGTTGAATGTTCTCCTTCTCCCAGAACGTTTTCCACATCCAGAGCGCTGTGCTTTCTTTCCAGAATGAGTTTTCGAATGGCGTTTCAGGCGTTCGTCCGACAGGAAACCCTTGTCGCACTGAACACATGTGAAAAGCTCGCCTGTGGCATGAAGCCCTTGGTGTCTTTTGAAGCGTGCGCTGTTTGAGAAACTCCTTCCGCACGGATGACATACGAAGCAGTCCTCCCTTGAGTGAATCTTCACGTGGTAGTTGAGATTCACTCTACCTCGGAATTTCTTTCCGCAGTGCCCACAGATGAACGGTCTCTCTCCGGTGTGAATCCTCATGTGAGCTTTAAAATTTCCGTTTTGCGAGAAGCTCTTGTCGCAGTCTTCACAGACGAACGGACTCTGTCCTGTGTGAACTTTCATGTGGCCGTCAAGGGAGGGTTTCCGTGTAAAACTCTTCCCACATCGAGGGCAGGCGAACGGCTTCTCTCCGGTGTGACTTCTTGCGTGGCTTTCGAGGCATGCTTTACGGGAGAAGCTTTTCCCGCATTCTCGGCAAGCGAACGGGCTTTCTCCAGTGTGTATCCTCATGTGTATTTTGAGGCTACCCTTCTGACTGAAGCTCTTCCCGCACTGCTGACAGATGAAAGACCTCTCACCGGAGTGAATTCGCATGTGGACTTTTAGGCTTCCTTGCTGAGTGAAACTCTTCCCGCACTGTAGACAGGCGTACGGACACTCCCCTGTGTGAACTCTCATGTGGATCTTAAGGCTTCCGTTTCGAATGAAACTCTTTCCACACTGTTTACAAGTGACAGGAGTTCTGGTTTCTTTCGGCTGAACTCTTTTACGCGAGATCTGTGGGCAACTCAAAGATTTGTCTACCACAATGCTATAATTATGTTCCTCATTTAGACATGTATCTTCCGTGCTATTCAATTCTTCACTCTCCTCTTTTGGCAGCATCAGGTCTGAGGCAAAAGAGAAAAGAAAAGTTCGATTTAGCCTGAGACTCACCAGTCTGTGGTCTTCAGATACCTTTTGGTCTAAAACACTTTCCCACCATACAATCATAGTAACTTGAAGTTACTAGCGCAAACTGCTATATATTAGTTGCTAATACAGCTCCTAATTTAACTTTCCAGGCCCCATTCTGGCCCCAGGGATCATAGAAGGTTGATTGTTGTTTATGTTAATGCTACTTGTCTGGCTACAAACACCCCAAACTCATAACTGGTTTAGTGTTATGACACTTTCCATAGAGCCGCACATCTGGGTGCTGGCTTTTCAGAGACAATCTGCTGAGTGACTACACCTGTGCCACTTGCATACCCGTGTGCAGGAATTGGCATGAGCATGGGAATGAATTTGAATGCAAATTTCACTCACCTTTTTTGAAACAAGGTCATGGGTTCGGTCTCCTTAGCGGAATCTCCTAATCCAGGGGTGTCAAACTTTAGTCCTGGAGGACCACAGCCCTGCACAATGTAGCTTCAACCTTAACTAAGCACACAGGATCAAACTAAAGGCCTACTTGCACTATGCTATCCGAACTGTGCCCAGGCACGTTTCCCGGGGTCGTTTGAGAAGTGTGAGTGCTCTGAATCGGGCTCAGGCGAGGTTCAGTTGGCTGGCCCTTTCCCAGTTGGAAGAGGTGTGCCTGAGCGCAGTTCACTTAGGGTTTGTTGCAGTACGCTTTTAGTGTGAGTGCAAAGCGTGCCAGAGCCCGAAACTGAAAGTGAGGGTGCTTTCACGTCTGTAGTTCGCTTTATTTGGTCCGGACCAAGGGTAATACATGATACATTGTTGTATCTTCTGCCGTCTTTGGGTCGTTTTCACACGACATTGCTGGCTTTGGTCCGAACCAGTTGGAACGAACCAAAATGCAGTCACCTGACAAAATCCACATCTCTCATTGGCCAGATGTTGTTGAACATATTTCCTAAACTGCTTATTGATTGGTCAGAATTCACGTGCAGGAAAATGCCAGTGAACTCCCGCAGGTAAACAAAACCTTTTACTCTGGAGGGACGACTGCGCTGGCTGATTGTATCCCTGCTTTAGATAAACTATACATTATGAAAATGAAGCGCGGCTGCGGCTGGAAAACAGTGTTTAATGCATCGCTCGTCACTTCAGGAGGAGACGTGAATTAATTTAGCTAAACTGCGACATGGTCATCTTGCCGAAACATTACCAACGATCCATCAGGTAATGTTTTCCCCTCTCTCTCTCTCTGTTGGTAAAGCGCTGTCAACAAATATTTTTCCTCCATACCCCATAATGCACAGCGCATCGGCCTACGGCAGCTGAACTAGTTCAAAACGTGCAGTACTTTTTGCGGTTGGACCTGTTTTAGTACGGTTCATATTCTCACCCCAAACGAACCGCTCCAGGGTTCGTTTGAAAGCGTACCGAGACCACCTCTTCAAGCAGGTCTCGGTACGCTTATTTGGTCCGCACTCGAGTACGATTGCTGCATTCACACCTGCCCAAACGAACCGCACCAAAAGAGGGAAACGAACTCTAGTGCGATTCAATAGAACTAAATAAGGCAGGTGTGAAAGCACCCTGAGACGTGACTTTTAAGGGGCTGTTTCACATAGATTTATTAATCATTCTTACTGTTCAATGAACGCAAACTGTCGTAGTTTATTAAAGACGCAAACCCCTCACTGCACGACAGCTGCACATTCAGCAAACCTCCAAATACCTGCAGCACGAGGACTTTTATGATTTTGTATGAGCATCAAAAGTGGCTGATCTGTTCGGCGTAATGTTTGACTGTGTGTCACTGCATATCAAACGACTTAAACGATATAACTAAAGTAATCTCCACTGCGCTGAGCGAGGGCGCTTCTCTCATCGATGACGTAAGTGTGCTCTGGATCGGATGCAATGTGAGTGCAGGCCGTCGGGGGAGAGGGGACAAATGTGCTACGGCACAGTTCAAGGCAACTGTACATAGTGCGAGCATGCACTAGCCTAGTTCATCAGGCTTATCCACAGGTAGATGTGTTGTAGCAGAATTGGAACTAAGACTTGCAGGGCTGTGGCTCTCCAGGATGAGTTAATCCTAAATTTGTCCATGTTTGATGTAAAGATATATGCAGAACTGAGACGATTCCCAGAAAAGCTGTAAACCTTTCAACATATGAAAACTGTACACCTGCAGCATTTAGGAGAATTGAATAGTAATTGTTGAGGTTTGGGCATATTGGTTATATTTGCAGTAAAGCCAAGATTTGACACTTTAGATTGAACAAGTTTGCTGATTTTCAGCTATTCTGTATCAATTAACAGCTATTCTTACAATGTTGCATGAGTAAATAAACATGGTATCACATTAAACAGTGCGTCGTTTTGTATTAGTGATGGGAAGTTTGGATCATTTTACTGACTCGGATCGAGATGAACGAATCTTTTTTCCGAGTCATTTTGTTCATTTGCTTCAATTTGCCAAAATATTATGAAAATGTTACGAATTGCTTCCAAACACATCTACAACTAGCCCAAAAGGTTGACTGCATGACAAATATGTCGTAACTAGAATACTATAAGAAGGAGAAAATAATACTTCAATGTTTACCTGCTCTTTTGTCTATGAAGGTATTGTTGTCTCTTTGCTCAGCTCACCTCTTCATGTCTTCAAATGTCAGGGGTTCATTCACGTTACACTGACAGTCACATATAATCTTAATCAATGCACAGTCTAAGCCGATAGGAGCCATGATCGTTCGTTCATCACGTGACAGAATGACTCAAACCCGATAGAGGACTCGAGAGATGAACGGTTCAATTCTTTTTCCGGCTCTACACGCGTATGATTGGCCCGTGATGAACGAGTAGTGACTCAGACCCGATAGAGGACTCGAGAGGTGAGCGGATCAATTCTTTTTCCGGCTCTAAACGCGTATGATTGGCTTCTGCCAATGTGATGAAGACTTGAAATTAACGATACTACCTGCACAAATGTGCGCACGCGCAGATAAACGAATCACTCCCTGAGAGGACTCGTAGTTCCCGAGTCATATTAAAGATTCGTTCAAAATTAACGAATCATTCATGAACAACCCATCACTAGCTTGTATTAAAGTGAGTTTTGACAGCTCTGAGGTTCGGGTAAATAACAGAACAGGACTTTATGAACATTCTAATTGAAAGTAAGACAATATCAGCAGCTCACTTTGGTTTTTTTCTGGTGTTTTTGGTAAAACTATTGTATTAATAGATCATCTTGCCAACAGTGACTTCCCAATAATGGTTTGGTTTGTAAAAAATAAACGTCTTTATTAGATTAAACAAATGAACGGCTTTCATTGTTTTCAATTTACAAGTAGATATCGTGTTTTGATGCAACACGTCATAGCCGTTTGGCTTCTTTGGTACTATTTTTAATAATACATTATTGTATTAAAAATCTGGGATGTTTTGTAATACAGAGGTTTAAGTTGAAGGTAGGATCTTCTCAGGTGCACTTGAAGGCACCATTGCATTATATTACAGCCAGGGGCGGACTTTACCAATAAGCCAGGTAAGCAACCGCTTAGGGCCCAGGGAAAAACGGGGTCCCCGACCAATGCCAAGAAGCCTATATCAATCATCCTAAAGCTATTTTATA